TTAGTTATTGTTTATAGTTTTAACCTCAGTTATGGAAATTTTTTAGTCAATTTTTTTTTATTATAATAGCTATTTTATGTATGTAATTTTATTATTATTCCAACCGGATATATTTCACGTGTCATGTTATTTAAACTTATAAATAATATAAACGAGGAAAATGATTCCGAGTCTGATACTCGTCATACTTGTTTTCTCAAAATGAAATGTGAAGGTTAAAATATCAACACGAACAAAAAATTCTTTTCCTATTTATCATAATTTTATTTAATTAAAAATATATTAAGGCTAAGATAATATCAAATATTTAAAATTATCGTTATATATGACCTTTCTGTGACCAGTGAACAATCTCTTATGTCCTACAATCTTACTCTTCCCTGATTAAATAAGTATTTTCGAATGAAAGAAGGATAAATGCTAATTATCATTGGCCTATATTTAAAATTTATTTTTTTTTAATTAATGACCTCACGCTTTCCTTAAAATTTTCTAGATTTATTGGACACATATGTTATTTGTATATTTCATAAGTTGCATTTGTTTTGTACTGTACATTATTTGCTGAAGATCGTATGAGAGTAAGCTTTATAATATAACTAAATCTCATTAAATATATGACCGCAGGTCGGCACCACGTCACGATGCCACGTCAGGATGACACTACTATGCCTTAAGTGACAAAGAAATCGCGATAGCGATAGAGTTCTCACGCGAGCGGTCGGATCGAGGATGAAGGCACACAAGAGACAGCGCGATTTAAAGGCTATCAAACATAATTTTAACAATAATAAAATATCCGTTTATTAACTATAAGCTATTTACAAATAGGCTAAACATAGATTTCTTACAGTTAAACGTTAGGGCTATCCCTTTATATATTTTATAAGGTTAATATTATAAAAGGCAAATAGGTAGCATTCAGCACCAATGAGGTTGGTTTATTCTTGGTTGAAGGACTTGATTGGGTTGAGTGCCCAATCTTTGACTAGATCTTCTCAGGGGAGCCTGGTGCCGAATTAAAGGAGGTTGCAAATTGGGAAGTGTTGAGTTAAGGCTGTTTCGTTGTTCCATATAGATTTCGGGTATTGTATTTTTCGATGCGGGTCGAAGACTAACAGAGAGTACATCCGCTTCTTCTAAAATTAAGGAAGTATGTAAATTTTTGGGTTGGAACTGGGTCCGATAAAAATTGGACCTTTATTGTGAAAGATGGTGTAAATACATTTTGTTTGGTTACGGTGATGAGAAACTGAAGGTCATAGCAGTTGAGAATCGATGCCCAGGTTCCAGAAATTGCGATCTGGGTATGAAACCCTAGGAATAACATGAAGGACTGGTTTAAGATCTGAACCTGTGGATGGCTTTGGAAAATGTGGGAGTAAAGGGTAGAAGACTCTCCTTCCCATGAACATCGATGATCTACGAAGGGGCAACTAATTGGTCTGAAGAGGCAGATTCTTTCATGATCTTCTCTTCAGAGTGTAAGCTTCATAATATAACTAAATCTCATTAAATACTATATATCTTTATGGCATTCAATTCGTGTACTTCATAATAAAATCTAAAGCTTTTAAGAAGTAATTTTTACATTATTAATATTTATATTTTATTAATTACATGCCTGTGTAAATTCTAGTTTTATAAATATTTTAGATTTTGTCTGATTTGAGGTAAAAAGTTTCCTTTGAGATTATTCTTCAGGAAACAAATTAACGTAGACATACATATTATTTATTTTATTTGAACTTCGTTTAATATAATTTATCATATACTGTACAGTACATATAATTTTTCGTATGTTTGATTATCAGAATAAAAAATCGCTATGTAATTAATGGGTAAAAAATTTGAATTGTACTGTATCTCTCTATACAGTACATTTTTGCAAATTAATTTATATGCTATTTGTTTTCCGCCTACTCAACATATTTTTGTTAGCGATAGAAGGATTTAATTGCTGTATTAAACGGCAAAATGGGATGAAGAGGCAGCCGCTACACAGTGTACTCATAAAACTGTGCATATATGTAAAAAGTCATTACGAAGCTATTTATATTTGGTGGAATTATTCCTTTATTTTCAAATAATGAACTTATACAAAGCTGGTACCACGGCATGTTAATGTGATAAAAAAGACATTGATCTTGATTCCGCCAAACAATAATGTTTAATAATACATTTAATAATCCAGTTATTTCCTAATGGCGTATTTTTAAGCATTTTCTTCCATTTTTTCATCAAATTTCGGGATATTCATATGTTTATGCGTGCATTGCGTGGCGACTACATAAAACTTTAAACCCTCATAACTTCTGATAAGTACATGTTTGAAAATAGTATTTTTAAATAAACAAACTTTTATCTAAAAATACTATTTTCAAAATGGAATTTCCATTGAAAAAAATGAAATTGTCTCTATTTTTACACATTGTAAGGCCATTTAAGTACGTCTTGTAGCAGTGATAATTCTTGTAGAATTTTTCATTCGCTACTTTGTTCATTTGCATTGAACTTTGTATCCAATACAATTGATAAAAATAGTTTTAATAGAATTAAATATAATATTCTTTGGTCGTAAACTAACAATAAGCTTATTAACAAAAGACCTTGTAGATTTATTAGTTTACCAAATTGACAGATATATTCTTGAATTATAATTGAAAATGTTTAAAATTCAAGGTTCAATTTCAAGAAGCGATACAGGAAAAACTTTTAATTCAAGATAGAGTTGTCATGTATAATAGAATCATTATAAAATCATGATTATTTTAATAATTCAAAGAAGTTGTGAAGAAAATCTATGACGTTATTTGCAATACTTTTATTGTAACAAAGTTAAATATAAACGATTATATCATTATAAATCTATGTAAATATCATTTTTATTTTTCATTTGAATGTTTTNAAATATCATTTTTATGTTTCATTTGAATGTTTTATGTTTAAAAAGTTATATAAAGTATAATTTAGATCTATAATCGAATATAAATGTAAATAAAATTCTATTTAAATAACAAGTAAACGACTAATTAATTCACACTACTAAATCTTCAAAAATATTGTACTATTTAATTAACGTACAACCTTGATACATCCCGTATATCAGGATAAGTTGATTAGGTGTACGAGTATATTTAGAAAAATTTAAATTTTAATTAATTTTTTTTTAATTATGTTGTTCTTGTAATAAATTTTAATGTATTTTAAGAATAGTCAATATTTTGCTCTGTTTAGATCTTTCTTTTTTTATTTATATCAAAACAAATCTTTATATAATCAATTGTAGATATACAGTAGTGTATATTCATACAATTTATATATTTATATAATATAAATTTTCTGATCTGGTCCAATTTCACCTGGTAACAGAGAAAGACCAATTGGGGACCGAGAAAGAGGATTGATAACCAATAAAGTAGCGATTTGAGAGACCACAAGTCTTTAAGCCCAGGTCACAAGGACACTTCGTTCTTTGCCGTGGTCTCCCACCAGGCTATGGCCCTCGCTGGGGTGCTTCCCGCAAGGTTCCATCTACGTCCTTTGAAAGTTATAGACCTTCGTTGAAAGAAACTTCGGAAATTCCGATCTGCATTCACTAAACATCGTTTCCTGCTCGATAACTGGGCTTAAAATACAACATCTGATCAGCGAATGGAAATTACCTTCGTCGCCGGACTTTCCTCTTCTTTTTTTGAAGACTACCGAAATATACAGGGACTTCAACCTTTGTGACAATAGTACTTTACTTGTAAGTTAATTGTGTAATAAACGGATTGTGTTGTTTGTAAACGAGGCATCGATCTATGACTCAACCGCTGTTTTATGTGGTTTGCTTTTGTTCACGCACCCTTCGTGATGTACTTAAGACCCCTGAAAGACAGAAATATGGACACTTACTCTGAATGCTTTATTCGGGGTCCTACCTGGACCGAGCGATCTCCGCTCTTATACATTAATCAGGGCCGTCTGTCTTGCACGTCCCCCCTCTCTCTCTCATGTTGCCAGATCTTCCCGTAACAATGTCGTTGATTGTTACCGCTCGGCATTCCAGACAACAAATAGAGTAATATTGTATTCTTTAATATCCTTTTTTAAAAAATTCGTTGCTACCAACTCTACATTTCATTTTTCTTGTCCTCGCTTCAGACTGGACTCAACTAATCAAGTTACAGAAAGTAAATTAATCAATAATACTGCGTGTTATGGTCCATTTGGTCAAGGTACAACTTACTGAAATGGTCAACTATGGAGGTTCCACTGTATATAGCCTATACAAATAATAATAAAACATAATTTAATAAATCAAGCAACAAGTTGCTTAACATTTCCGGCAACATTTAAAACTGCGTGTGGCACCATCTGTTATGATATTTTATTAAAAACTTTTTTATATTTTTAATTATTATAAAATAGAGAAAAAGTTTAATTTTGAGGATAGGAATAAGTTTTATAAAATATAGTATAAAATGAGTAGAAACGTCATAAAGTCAGATCCTACTCGAGATATGATACGACCCTCTTTATTTCTCCACCCTGTTGACCATTAACCACCAAAATTTAATAGCACAATTCCTTCTAATACACAAACCTCCTTGGAAAATTTCATAGATTTTCGACTAAAAGTAGAGGAGTTATTCAAAGTAGATGAACAAAATCGTGTTATTCACACACACACATTCATACATACAGCAAAAATCCCAAATTTTTTACATTTTTCGTTGTTTCAAGGTTCCTTGAGTTTAAAAATGGTAAAAATTGTCGAATGAATTGACAAATAAGTAGCAGTGACATTTTATTCGTGACAACTACGAGAAACAAAATAGACGAGTAAAAATAGTACATCTATTAATACAAGAAAAATAAATAAAAAATAAAACTATCGCTATAATACATTTGTTTTCTTAATTAAAGATATTTTAAGACCTTTCTAGAGCCTTGCACACTTCATATTATTAATTCATAATAATAAATAAACATCTCGTATATACAAATCTTTGTTTTTTTTTTATTAAAAGATGTCAGGAAATGTTTGATTATCGTATACAAAAACAATATCATTTGATTCTTTCAATTTCTTCTTACGTCTGTCTTTCCATTCATACAATATCATTAACAACACTCCACATAACAATAAACCGATTAAACAACAAATTGTTAAACCCAAATAATACCATAAAGAAATGCAACAATTTATTAAATTTAGTGGATATTCTGTAGTGGAAGAGTTTACAAAGTCGTGTTTAGTGATGGATTTGTTTAAAAAATCATATTCGGTAGAAGTACAACAATTTCTCAAATTAGTGGGTGTAACATTAGAATATGTAGAATTGCCTTCAGGAACAATGGTTTGTTTTATTAATGTTTTATTATTTGTTACTGATGAAGATTCAGAAGCTTCATTTCGATAAATGTTAAGCTGAGATACGGCTACTTTTCCATTTACAGCATTTAATTCTGCTGTTATAATAATCTGAAAAAGTTAAATGACATTTAATAATAAGATAATCTTTTGAGAAAGAAAAAAAATTACATAAAAACATCCAAATAAAATTAGACTATTATTATAACGTACATGTAACCCCCGTATAACACGGCACTTCTATAGCACGGATTCACTCTAACACTGTTTGAGAATTGGGAACATCCCCCGTATAACACGGTGCTTTTATAGCACGGATTCACTCTAACACGGTTCGGGAATTGGGTAAAACCCTCGTACAGCATGAAATGTAATAAAAGATGCGTTCTTTTATACTTCCGCGTAACTCCGCGCGAGCATTCTAATTGTTTTCGGTGGCTATTTTGAATGCTCTTTCAACAAATAATCCATTTAATGGTTATATTTTACAATTGGGACCCCTCTTTTGCTTCTAAAAGCTCATTTTAGAATTATAGATTCTTCCATCACGATACTATCGATAGTGTGGGCTCTGCCATCTTTCTTTCACGGTCGTTCCTAAATGCCTACAAACAGCAGAACACTCCCTTTGCAGAGCGACCGCTATTAACGAACGCAACCAAAAACTGTTACCAGTTGATGATGCTCATGCTGAGATCATCATATACGATGAATAATCCTCTGGTAAAATATTTACTTAAATAATAAATAAGTATTTTACCTACGAAAAAATGAATAATAAATCTGATTTAAATAAGAATTTAACAGCATGTTTTTTTTTTTTAATTTTTGGAACCTAACCCCCCTTTTAGTACTAGTTCTTTGTTTCGTATAACACGGCAATTTTTTGGAACGTAACTCCCGTGTTATACGGGGGTTACCTGTATATAGATCATTCAGCTTTTAGGTAAATAGTGCACAATACTGATGTGGGGACCAGGGGCCGTCAAAAGTTAGTTTACGTTAGAGTAGGGTAGGGTCCTGCCACCAGGTGTGTTTTGTCGGACACACCGCCGATTCAGTCAAAATCGATAGTTAAGGCGCGAGGGTAAGAGTCACTCTGAAGTCCGGGAATGAGCCTCTCAGGAGGATGAATGCAAAGTCAAATACAAATAACAAGAGTTTATTTTCAAAAATTAAGTTCTGCATAACACTCCTAAGATCCGATTCAAGAAATCTGTCTATTTCTGTCTATAAAACGAGGGGGCTGCCTAACAGGGGGGTATCCGAACTACAACATACCAGGAAAAAGTGAGCCGTCTTCTCTTGTAAGTCTAGTCAGTCTCCTGATCTAGTTCTTTCTTTCCTTTTGCTTGGTCCTTCACTGATGTCTACCGGTAAATGGCGTTCGCTTCTAGACGAAATTTCCTTTCGATTATGGCAGGATGGGTCCACTCAAGTCTACTGTTGATGTCCGCCGTTGATGCCTTCCTGGTATGGGATGGTTCGTTGAGAGTCTGGAGAGGCCGGTACTTTCTACCGTTGTCTGCCAAGGAGCTCTGTCTGTGTCTGGATTTGTGCCTCTTTTATATGCTTTTCAGCACAGGAGAGTTATGATATGGCTTACTATCGTATTGGTTTGACTTTTGAGCCGAGTCATTACAGAAGCAAAACTGTTTTCACTGACAAATCTCATCATTATTCATAGATTGTTTTGGTTACTGTTGTGCCTTGAAACGATGTTCGATCTCTGCTATGATGGGGGGCATGAAGTGGTGTTTTTCCACTTTCTTTAAGTTTTATTCTCTTACAAATTTATTTAATTATTTAATTGTCCTCTCATCCTTTTCCTCGCATGTTATAGATTTATTGCTGTTAATTTATATTCTCTAAATCATTAGGGAAGTCCCTAAAATCGGAAAAATAGGCAAATTTCTCTTACACTTTGATCCATGTATAAACAATCTCGGTATCTTCAAGATGTGGGTTCAAAAGAAAAAGAATATAAAATAAATACAATGTTTAAATACAATAAAATCTCTAACTAATTACTTAAAATGACAACAAAGTGGCTAAACTAAGATTATTACAGATAATGTAAATACGTAAATAACAAATTCACAAATACATATATACACACACACATATATATATAGTAACAACAATTTGGTGGGGGGGAATGGTGGTTTTCACACTGAGTAAAAAAAAAACAAATCTTATTGTTTAAACATAGATCGAAAAATCAACGGTTTCTGAGATAAATAATCTGACAATGACCTGAAATTTTGTTAAAATATATTTTCTAAACATCCTTACTTGAAAACTCTCTCCAATAGTAACAAAGCCATCAGAAAGAAATATATCGATGTCTTCTTGTTTACTCCACTTTGGTATTGGATCTATTATACGAGCTAAAGGATCAGTACTTTCATTAAAAGCAATATCTATATACAGTGTAGCATTTTCGGATACGAAATAATAAAAGGACATTTTAAAATCTTCAATTATTTCGATTTCAATTGTTTTGCTCCAAAGTCTTGCCCACAGTTTTTCTTTCGATTCTTCCGATGTTTCGTTTGGATATTTTGCCAGAATATATTTTCCTGAATTAAATGAAAATTTTAATTTAATATTATAAAATATAAGCTTTGAGATTTTGAATTAATATTGAAAAATTAAAAAAAAAATTGTAATGAGGAACAATAGGATTCGTGAGACTTTGTAATGGTTAGACTAGATCCATTTCCTTTTTTAAGAAATGTTTCAATCTTATTGTGATGCGAATAAGGAAATGATAAAGTGTTTTATGTGTCTCTTGTACTATTTAACATTCAATAGATAAACAACGGGAAAAAGTCCTGTATTTCTCTGAATGTAGTGAATCAAACAAGACTTTAAGAGAACTTTTAAAGTCGTGGAGAATAACACCACGACCGTATATTAATTTATTTACTTTATTACTTAAGAATATAGCATAATGTCTTGAATAACGTTTTCTTTTCTATCTTATCGAACTGGTGTGTCTTTAAATTTGTAGGGAACCTACTTTTTCGGAGTCAGAAAACTTTAATAACCCTAGTTTGCACGTTGTAATTTAGACCCTTTACTAATATCACGCTACTAAATGGTATCTAACCTGTAGGAAAAGACACATTCGAAATCATTTCATCTGTTATTATCCATGGTATGTTGCCCTCTTTCGAAACCCAATCGCAAAAATCTTCGAAACTGCAACTAATATTGGTTACATCACCTAATTATATTAAAAAATACATTAATTAATATAAATTCAAAATAAAAGATTAAAAAAATTGTAATACTAAGAAAATAGTATCAATAAGATTAAAATTATATTAAATAACTGATTTATTTCTGCATTTTTCAAACTACACGAAGAACAATAGAACTATATTAGGGAAGATAATAATTTTTACTTACCTTTGATAAATTCATAACAGAGTATCCGCAATATAAAATAAAAATAAATGAAATAATGCATTGTTTATTATATTTTTAACGTTGAAGGATGGCTATCGAATACAAGAAATAAATTCTCAACTTATCTACATGTAACTTGTCATTAAAAATGATACCATAATCTAGTTTATCTAGAAAAATTTTAAGTTTCTTAGTAACTATGTGATCTGGACTAATTCTGTCATTTTAAAATTATATCAATTATTTTAGTAAATAAAGAAAAATAAACTTTGTAACAAACAGATACATGTTTTTCTGAATAAATATTTTATTACTGTAAACAAATAACAGTCATATTTGATGAATTATCGTGTAAAAGCGTGAACTATTAGACAAGTAGTATTTACCGATAAAGCATTTCACTTATACTTATGGAATTCAAAATCATGTATAAACAGTGTTTATACGTGATTTTGAGTTCCATAAGTATAGTGTTATAGGTGTAGTTAACCACAAAATACCGTATGACAATTCGTTTATAATTAGTGATTATGGCATTTATGGAAGTTTGGCACACGAGCGGAGCGAGTGTGCCAAACTTCCATAAATGCCATAATCGCCTATATTATAAACTAATTGTATAATATAGCCTACTAATGTAGTGTATCTTATTTCATTTTATACCAATAGTACTTTTCTACTTCCAAAATTTTTTACTGTTTGTTTTCCTTTTTCTTTGAAGGGGACGGGCCCTTGGTTCCCTAAGTGCGACACTGACATGTATTATCTTTGCTAACTTTTAAGTTTTTTGGGGCACGTGCCCACTTTTTCGTCTGGGTTGCTTTTTTCTTTCTTTTCTAATCACCAAGGAAACCCAAATTCCATGATCAATAAACAACTGAAAATTCATGATTTCTAGACTATTCTGCAATATAAAAGAAACTAATAAATGATATTTGTCCATTGTCCGGTACAACTATTTTTATATATTTTCTATGAATGTCTCTTTAATCCGAATGACTATTACGTTCGATAGACTATCATTACAGCTTTCAGGTTAGACACTTATTGTTTTCTCATATGCATTTCGAGCTTATTTAAATACTAAGCCCCTCTTCAGTGCAATATTAAAATTGTCACACCGTGGTTTTAGAAAATAGAACCATATGTACCGTATGGTTCTATTTTCTAAAACAACGGTTGTGACAATTTTATGGGTGTGATAATTTTAATATTGCACTGAAGAGGGGATTAGTATTTAAATAAGCTCGAAATGCATATGAGAAAACAATAAGTGTCTAACCTGAAAGCTGTAATGATAGTCTACCGAATGTAATAGTCATTCGGATTACAGAGTCATACCTTCATAGAACGTAATAACAGCTATCATAAGTGATATTTTATTTTTATATAGTTATTTGTTTGTCGTATGTTGACCAAAATCACAATCCTTGTTTTCAAAACCAAGCGAAACCGCTGGTCTGACATTAAATCCCAGTTTGAAGCTTCTTGAAAAATGTACGATGCCCATTTTTAGCTTGAACCTTTTTTATAATTTGCAGGCATCGCTGAGCGCAAATTACGGTTATGACTGTATAAATTTAACTGTTAGAAATTTCTGCAATTTTCAACGGCAGCAACGGACGCCTGGAAAGAATTGCTTTCATTCAAGATGGAGCGTCATCTCACATTACACGACTAATGTGACAGCTTCTGCAACATCACTTTACTGACTGAATGATAGTGATTAGCTGCTTTTTCCCATTTGAATACTACCTCGTTCTTCCAACATCATTCTGTACGATTTTCGTGCCCACCAGTGGCCAAGTGGATAAAACCATTGAACATTGGTTTTAACTCTATAATCCTTTTATATCAGGTATAGAATTTCATACAGCAAACAAATACCCAAAGGTTTAAGTACATACAATTTATTATTCAATTTTCTCTTTTACATATGCATTTCGGGTGATAATCTTACTTAGAACGAATTTTTCTTATACTCTGTGCAAACCTGCTGTTTATATTTCTTCGAATTATTGAATACGAAATGTTTACAACGATTACTAAACTACAACTACGATTATAAATTTTTGTATAACAATTAAGGCTTGGTCAGAATTAAGTTATCTAAAATGATAATATAACAAATATTAGATAAGAAAAATATGCCCTATTTTTTTTTTTGTTTTATTATCTAAGAATTCATCAAATGTTAACGAACTTTAAAAATTGTAGTTACGTAGTTCTTGCAGATGGAAAAAATAAAATTTGTATTAAATTTAAAGTAAAGAGTAACCTACAATAAAATACATTACTGTAACACTGATATTTATAATTGTAATTCTTACGTAGTAAAATTTGTGTTGTGCCTGGACTGGGCGTTTATGTATAACCAATTACGTGTTCCTATGTGACAGAAGAGAACAATACAAAACTTTTTCATGTAATCGATATAAATTTTACGTTTTTCGAAACAGTGTTCGTTAGAGAATCGCGATAGAAATGCCTTAATTTCATATTCTCATCAACATGAATTAATTAGTCGTAAAAACATTGTATTTTCCTTTAAATTTACATTAAACCATAGAAAGTAAAAACCCCGAAAAGAATCAATCCTTCGACATTTCCAGTCTGGCCACAATCACCGTGACAATAGCGACATCATATGTCTAATTACTGATTGATGTACGGAATGGCCATTAAGAGGCAAAATATTCGTCGCATTGGTACTGTTTGTAGGATATTATCAAGCGTTTTTAACTTCTATATACATATTAATAAACAATAAATGTGTTCTTATTATTTAAATCGTTTATGTAAACTTTAAAGAATCGGTTTTCGATATTTCTGCGTGTGTTACTTTCTAAAATTACTTTAACTCTTGACAAATCTTTAGATCAAAGCATGGATTGTTGTAACACTTTTATGTAACACAATTGAAAGGTTTTAAAGACACGATCGTCGCAAAATATATTACACATATTGTATATCATATTTAAAAAACAATTATTTAAATATAATCATTTTTGTAAACATCTTACTTGTGCACTTTTAATCTTAATACTTTCTATTTTTTCTCGCCACCATTCAATACGATATGATTTTAATTTGAGACACGAAGACCTTCTTTATTCTGTAAGTTACATAACTGAATAAAATATTGCCATTTAATAATTCTGTCATCATTCTCACCCATCTTTAGAATTTTAAGATCAGCCAAAAGATTCCTCATTAATTTCAACATATGAGCTGCAATTATATAAGCACCGACTGTGCATACCAGCTTACCATTGGCTCTTCAAATGAAAAAAGGAAGCTTGAAGAATTCCAGTTTTGTTACTCAATATGGAGATTGTTTATGGAATTTTGTTCGTAAAACAAGAAAAATTGAAAAAAATATTTCCAAAATTTCTGTTATCTTTTTAAAAATGTATAAAATTATCCCTTTATAAACACTACGAGTATTTTGTGAGGTTTTTTAAACACCAAGAGAGCCCTTTTCCATGCCTATAATTAGTAGGAAGAGAGGTCCAACATATCCGGATCAAATTACTCATGACTTTCTATTCTGTCACTTAGTATTGGTGTTAGCCTATTACTACGGAGGATTCGGGTTAAACTATTAAACCTCCTAATTCATCACGTGCACTACAGTCATCGTTTTTATATCTCCCATTGCAGACAGGTGTGATTGTGGTTAGATGATTACAGTTCGACACGATTCATACGATATAACTTATGGACATATCGTTATATTGTTTTCATTACTTATTTGCCTTTTAAATTATGCTTAATTAATACCCAGCTACATGCATTTAACTTTCACAATAACATCTTATCTCACCGACAATTATTTATTAACTGTAACAAACGTTTTCAACCCGTAAACTAGTAAAAGCTTTAAATTTCGAGTATATCCATCGTAATCGTAATTGCTTCTGTGCGTGGATGTAGCGCCATTAGGTTCGAGCGAACTCAATTTTATAGGAAGACAAACCATGTTTCGAAAGTCAGTCGCGATGTGGTTAATTATTTTGCATAAACATATTTATTTATTCATATAATTACAATTTTTCTGAGAGCGATATGTACTGTACAGTAACTTATTTGGACGAGAGAGAGAAAGTTCAGCATTAGATCTCACCTGGATTAAAGTTCAATACAAAGTTAAGAAGTGCTTTTTCTCGTTGATCCAACAAAGGCTAAAAGTTTGAGAGTGAAGAGCGGTCAGAAGCACGAAAGCAGAAACTCGTCCATCGATGATTTTTCCGATTAATGTTAGGTTCACAGACCGTCTGGCAGACTCCTTTTCTTTTCTTTTTTCTCAACTTGGTTGTGTTTTCGTAGGGCTGACCAATAAGTTAGTGAATCCAATGGTCTTGTTTCGTTATGGGAACCACCCCGTTATTCTCGATTAAAGAAATGAAGGATGACATGGCGTCGTCATAATGACGAAAAGATTATCACAAAGAAAGAAATTGGGCTTAGATTTGAAAGGTTTTTGTCGTTCTCTAATTTATAAAATTGAATTTATGAAAAATGAGATTTATTTTTAACATTCAAAACCTCAAATTTCTTAATCAAAATAAATGTTACTGTCATTTGACGACGATCGATATAAGGGAGAATCGCATAGTACCGACCATTACTAGCTTTCGCTACTTCTTTAAAACTCTTTTTCCGCCCTGTGGACACTAAGATGCCTCTTTTAGTAAGCCCATTATGGGATTTTTCAGGTGGTGAGGAACGGTGCCTCACCACCTGAAAAATCCTTGGAGCTTTTTCGGCCCGTCCGAATTCGATCGCGGATCCCCCAGAGCGGTAGGCTGCTACCTTAACCGTTCGTCTAAGTTATGTAGTGGCATTCTACAGACATACGCAGTAGAATATCATCGTCATATACTTCGAGACTTGTCTTTGGTTAGGGTTGTAGGAACCACGAGCCAGAGAAGGTGCTTGTTGGTATTTAGTGCGTCAAATGTTATTTTCGTGGATTTAATTCTACTTTGGAGATAAGTAGTCAAATGCAATTTTATTTTAAATTTATTTTGTCTATAGAAACTTAATATTAGATTAACATAAATTCGTATTAGTTTTACAGTATAAAACTGTATACAACAGACAATCTCCAAAATGTTACCATGTGGCAGTCGTCCAATACCGACCACTTACCTATCGTACAGTACCGAGCAAAAGTAATTTTTAATTAAGGAAAACGTCTCAGATTTCTTCTCAATTTAAGGAAAAATGATAGAAAGTGAGATAAATAAGAAAGTAAAATGGACCAAAGCTGGCAAATTAAAATTGCAATAGAAGAACTTCTTGTAACTAACTTTGACATTTTCAGTTCCAAAAAAAAAGTAAAAAAAAACATTAAACAGCGAATGAGAGCAATCCAAGATGGCAGAAGTATGAGTATGGTGTCGTAGATGGGTAGATTTCAAACGACTTTCGACAAAAAAAATTGAAAAACTAGTGTTTTATATGCAAGATCAGGATTAAAAGTTCATTCAAGAAGACTAGCTACAGCGTATTGCATGTGCCAAACAAAAAGTATTTTGTATTTTATTTGTAACAATCGTAAGCATTGAAGTTCATTGCAAACTTTCGAAGATTTGTTCCTTCCTATATTTTTTTCTTTTAATACTTATTCGAAAAGTGAATACAGTACTATTAATGATTCAATAGCATACTATTCTACTATTGTCAAAGGATTTTGTACTTTTATTTGCTTGAATAAAAATCCCTAAAACATTTACATTATCATTAAGATCTTAATACATTTACTTTATTTTACAACTGGTCGGTACTGGAAGACAATATTTGCACTGCCAGAATTTATAACATTTTTCATTTTATAAATAACTAGCAGAACCCGCCACGCGTTGTTGTGGCTCAAAATGCATCTATTATAAATGTATAACACTTCCCCCGTGGGAGGGGAATTTTTCGAAAAATTTCTTCTTAGTGCACATTCTCTTGACGTACCCTATTAAAACGCAATCAAACACGCAAAAACCCGCATCTAAAATAATATAATAGAAGCCAAGTTCTTGACGGTTAGCCTTAATTTTGTCCCTCTCCCCCGCGGGGGAATATCGAAAAATTCCTTCTTAGTGTACATTCTGTTTGACGTACCCTATTAAAACGCAATCAAAAACGCAAAAACCCGCATCTAAAATAGTATAAATAGAAGCAGAGTTCTTTACCGTAAGCCTTAATCCTAACCATCTCCCTTCAGTGGGGGAAATTTTGACACGTATATTACAGTATATAAAAACACGTGCGTATTCGAATGCAGCGTCGTGTCAAAATTTTAAAGGAATCGGTAGGAACAAACGAACATTACATTTTTATTTATATAGATAGACAGAAGATGATCCGCTTTAGTTCATTTTCACAGCAAAGCGTAATGTCTCGCAGAAAAGCAAACTTAGGGCGTCGTACTCGTAGCGCCATCTGTTGGACAAAAAAGCCTTAACCATAGATGATATCATTTAATTTATATGAATGTTTAACGGAATAATATACAGCCTATGTCCACCCTGAGGTTCCATTCTAAATATTGGTGAAAGAATTTTTGAAATCGGATGAGTAGTTTCGGAGATTACCTGCTGCAAACAAACTTACATACATACATATATACATACATACATACATACATTACCTCTTTATAATATTAGTATAGCAAATATATAGAGTATAGATTAGTACTTTAGGCAAAATTTTAGCGAAATTTTATCCTGTATGAAGCACTTTTTGAGGTATCATACTGTTATAAGATCAGTTTTTCTCGAGACTTACATTAGTTATAAAAGTACTCTCCCCTATACGCAAAATAAAACAGTACAGATCAGAAAATCGTAGAATTTATTGAAATAATAAATTCGTCGGTACTAAAGTAATCACAATGTCTTTTCAGACAGTTTGCTTAGATTACTTCTAGTCATGGCGAAGTTCTTTTGGATCTATTCGACCTTCAGGAAACGGAAAATGTCTTATTACAGTCATACTGAAAGTGATAAATTCGATAAATAAACGAAGTATATTGGTAAAAATATATCGCACGTATGAGTTACAATAGGATATTATTGGGGTTGAACGAATTTCGGCCCCATAGCCTTGGCGCCCTTGCAATATGAAGAATGTATATCTAGACGGAATATCTGAGAATATAGTGAATAGTTTTACAATTTCATTGGAAAAATTACCAGTAGTGATGAAGATTTCAAAATGTCTTACATTAGAATATTCTTTAAACATGCCGTAAATAATGTAAATATTTAATAAAATTATATCATATTTCTTTTGTTGTAAAACATTTATCATAAGCCGTCAAGTAAGGGACGGAGGGAACGGCTTAAAAGATATAAAATCAGAAAATTAACTAAAAAAATGGTTAACAAATTATTTTTTCAGTTATTCCATCTAATTTCCACGTACTTTTTTTTAAAACTCTTTCCGCCCTGTGGGCACTAAGAGGGCCTCTTTTTGCAAGCCCATTATGGGTTCGGCCAGGCCCACAATCGGGCTGCCGGGTGGTGAGGGACGGGGCCCGACATATCCGAACGGACCACCCCCGAAAAATTCCTGGGAATTTTTCGACCCGTTCGGATTCGAACCCGGGTCCCCCAGAGCGGTAGCTGCCACTAGGCCTGTACATTCTTTCTGATGCATGGGCGCAAGTATATGGTGTATATTTTGTATACTTATTCTTTGGGACTCTCGGGAAAATAGTCTTCTATGAAATTTGAACGTCCTAGAAATTCTTCTTCTAGAAATTGATTTGAAAGCCGTCGTAAAACTCTTCGACGGATTTAATGATGCAGATTTCAGGAACGTTTGTACTGAAGCCGGCATATTTGTCAGCCCTGTCAAGCGAAAACACGCCATGGAAGAGGACTTCATGAAGGCCGTCCGAAAAGTGGCAGACACGAAACTATAGCCGAAACTAGACCATAAACCCGTTTAAATTAGAACTATTATTTTATATTTTACTATTACAGTATAAAGTTTTTTATACTTTTGCAATTAATTGATAAAATTTATGATAATTATATTAAAGATTTGAAAGGAATGTTTTTTTTTAGAAATTCCATTTTCTTTTTTTATTAATTATATACTGTAATTTAATTCCACAAATTATTCAATCTAAATATATAAAATTGCTTGTCCTGACTGACTGACTGACAATCATTCACTCACTGATTCATCATCGCTCAGAGCAAACTGCTTCACCTAAAGAGGTGAAATTTGGTAGACATGTAGGGTACGTCATGGAAACGCACACTAAGGATTTTTCGAAATTCCCACGCGGGGGGAGAGAGAGAGAATTAAGGCTTAACAGGAAGAATGGCTTCTACTGTACTATTTCAGATGCAATTTTTTGTTTTTATCTGCGTTGTGGTAGGGTATTCCATGAGAATGCATACTAAGAAGGCATTTTTCGAAATTCCCCCGCGGGCGGGAGAGGGAGAGGATTTAGTCTTCATTAAGTACTTAGGTGTATTAAATTGATAACATTTCAGACATTGTTATAAATATTTTCATATATTTCGATGTTTTAACCAAATGTTCCAACATTATAAAATTCGAATTTGTTATTGCATATTGATTCGATTATAGAACGATTGTAAACGTTTCAGAAAATTGATCAAATTGAAAACAGTTCGTTTGATTCTCGGCAAATTCTCATTATTCTCAGCGGTAGGTGTTAAATAACAATTACTATGGTCATTGAAATACTGAATATAAATGGGGTTTGCTTGCAAAATCCGCGCCAGCAAAGCTGCGGGTAACAGCTAGTATTTTATGTATCTTTAATTTAATAATTAACGTTTTTATAATTTTCTCGTTAACAATAAAGCATCTCTATAATCAATGATTGATACAAATAATTGTATAAATATTTCTTTTATTTATTATACAGTAAACTCTCATTTTTATATTCACAAAGATTCAATAAATAACATTTTCCTTTATAAATAATAACTGGTAAACAAAATTCTGTGTTTAAATGATTCCAAATAGCATAAGATGGCAAAATTTTCATTAGTACTTATTTTTCAATAAATACAAAAGAGTTTAATTACTGTTAAAGAGATGTCGAATCTTCTAAATATGCTGCATTTTGAATTCCTTTAGAATGATTATTTTCATTTGCATTATGTTTTGTTAGTTGATCTTCTTTTGCTTCTACGTATTTATAAAAATATGCAATTAAGGAAAAAAGCATCATATCGGCCACCATTAGACCAGCAAACATAAAGAACTCGTAAGACTGAAATGAAAATTTTTATAAAGTAAATAAATAAATAATCTTAAAACATTGATATACAGTAAACACCCGATTTAGCTAGTAGTGAAAGTATTTGGTTATGTTGCTCAATAATCACATCAATTCAAATGAACTTTGCTAGTAATGAGAGCTTAAAAAGGAGTTTAAAGTTTTAAACTCAATCTTAATGCCATCTAGAAGTTATTGTACATGCAGAAGAGCATGGAAATAGAACTGGCAAACATTATAAATGCAACAAACTTTCATTATATTTGGCTAAGTAAGTAACAATCAATTGTACATTAACAAATTGTCAATAATATTCATCTATATTTCTTGAAAAAATTTTAATAAGAGAGGGCTTGAATTTGTTATCTTTGGCTCCTCCATCCTGTTTTATGGTCAGCATACCAATATGGTTATCCAAGAAGTTTGAAATTTATCTTTCGTGGATGAAAAGACTCAGGCTTTAAGAGTATAGAGATTGAAATTCATTGAGAGATGATAAATTTCATATATTGAAATCCAAACAGTTACCTCCAGTCATAAGAGTCTTTGTCCTTTTCCTATACTGTTGTACTTTCAAACACAGAAAGATCTGAAGATTTTATTCTATTTACTGAAATTGCCAACTTGCATGCAAATAATTGAGAAAACTTAAATTTTCAGTTTATTCTAAATGTCACATTTATACTTTTTTTAATACAAACATGTTTAATTGTTACAATCCATACTGAATTTGAAAGAGAACTATGAAACAGTTTACAGAAAAAATAATTTAAACAAAGAATGTTCATGTTAACAAAGTTCAAATGTGAAATGATCGCCAGATTTCTATTGGGCTATATTAAAGATAATTAATAATTTGAAACAAAGTTGGCTAAAGACATACAGCTAGGATACCATCTCATGAAATACATAAATTTTTAATACTCTGGAGGTAGAGAATCAGTCTTAAGCAGGACTCAAAACCCACAACTTGTGCTTACCTCACAGTTGCAGTGTCAGCTACACAACCAAGATCTCCATCCAATCTTCACTTCCAGAGCTTTTAATTAATTAATGAAGATATAATAATTTGGTCACTCACAGGGCCAGCTGAGGCTAACTTAGTACCCATAGCCCTCAATGACTCTCAGTCAACTTATGCTTTAACTAAAAATCCTGCAGATTGTTTTAAATTCTAATATATTTGTTTTCATTTTGGACATGCTGCCAATCCCAGTTTTGGATTTTACCAACTGAAACTACACATAAAAATTAGAGTCTGATCCAAACTTAAACCAGGTCTCTCAGAGTAGCAGCCTGATTACTGTCTTAGCCATCTGACTGTCAAATAATGTTTATATTATAACGATATACTTTCACAATGAAAAGTTAAACGTTTGACTATTATTTTATTACTATATTTTAGCATTAAACAAAATTTATATTTTATAAAATATTCTTGTTGTAATAATTGCCATATTTTCCGGCATATAAGACGACTTTTTAACCCAGGAAAATCTTCTTAAAAGTCGGGGGTCATCTTATATGGTGAGTATATCCCAAACTCTATATTTTAACTGTAAAAGTTGGGGGTCATCTTATATGTCCAGTCGTTTTATACACCGGAAAGTATGGTAACTTTTGTATTAATACATTACAAAAAACTTTGTAAGCTGATTAACATTTTAAAACTTGAATTTTAGTCTCAAAAACTGAATAGAATTTATTTTCCATCAAATCATCATTTAAAATAATGCCAAAATTTTTTATACTATTTTTTTCAATATGATTAACATGAGTAAGAGAATTTTATGTTTAATGTCAATATTATCATTATATTTACTTACTTGTTTTGAAAAAAATCTTCCTACAGAAACAATTACAACAATGATATTTCCAAAAGCTACAGTTAATAACCAAGCAGCTTGTAAAACAGACTTCATGCTTGTAGGTGCCTAATCAATAATTAAATAATATTCTATAATATATCACATATATTTATACATAACAATGTGAAAACAAAGATTATTTATAACTGAATTTGAAATATTTTTATTACGAAAAAATAAAATTAAATGAAGAGATAAAATATCAGATAAGTTAATTTTTAAAAAGTTACAGAAATTGTGAGTGAAGAAAACTTGGCACTATAATAATAATAATAATAATGATAATGACAAATAACTGCTACAATTATGGTTACCAAAAAGACTGTTTAATCAGAAACATTTTCGACAATGTCTTTGGTAATCTGAAGATGACCAAAGACATGGTCAAAAACATTTCTGATTAAATAATCTGTCTGGTAACCAGAATTTTAACAGTTCTTTATAATTTATTTACAGAAATGTCTTATTATTTTACAATTTAAATATTTAATGTGTAATACTATTAGAAAAAATTATATACTATTTTTACTTTTGGAAGAGCATTGGCATCTTCCTATTAACTGATATAATTCTATAAATTTGTATTTTTTGAGATTATATATAAATGTAATAAATATAAAAATCTCCTATAATATATAGGAATAAAATCCATAATTGAAAAAATATCTTTTTTAATTATTTTAACATGTTAATTACAGAATGAAATATATACTATATCATTATAACTCTTCAGCTCAGTGAAAATAAACTGATATGGTTGCTTTGATGTATAGAAAGAAATTGGTTTTTATGTCACATGACTTACTGCTTTTGACTACTGACTACTGATGATTGCACATGAGTGTCTCTAGTCACTAAATGAAAATATCCAACGAGTTGAATATGCTCTTCATTTTATAGACTTCCTACATTTCATTGAAAGGATTGGCATTGAGTCCATTAATTGATTGCAGGCAAATTTGCTTTGATGTTGAAGGAGATCAGTTTGCTTTGATATTGACTCATTTTCACTGTGTTTTAGAAAGTACTTTAGTTTGTAAACCAGACATTTCTATCATAGGATTAAATGAAAATGTTGCTTACAAGGAATAGAGTTAGCTACACCACTAGTTTTTGGCATCTAACACACTTGTCACATGCCATCAATTCCCAAATGTAGTTTGAGCTTATTATTATTTAAAATAAGTGTTGTAACAATGGAAGATGCATTTATTGCAGAACAGAGAATTTCATAGTGGAAAGTTTCATAAAGAAGAAATTAAAATTTAAAATTATAGTTTATGCAAAAATATCCTGTATCACATGTAGTCAATGATACAAAGATACCTTTGTATCATAGAGTAAGACCGTGCTACATGTGGTTTTAAGTTTACACTATTGGCAATCCAAAACTAAAGGAAAATGCATAAATAAAAATCCTTAATTGCATTTTCTGAATGTTTGAAGTTACACTTGTTCTTGTTCTGGAAAAATGTTACTATAACTTGCTTATTTGTTTTGCCCTAAACACTAGGACCTGTGTCAGTCTTTACTTTGAGTTCTTGTTTGTAAACACATCATGTCTATGTGATATTGGTGCTGACTTTATTTCATTTATGCTAATTACTTTACAAACATGAATCCAAAATGCAAATGTTGTAATATTGGTAGCTCTGATAAGCCAAAGAAAAACCTAGCAATGATGTTGAGGTCAGGAAAATCATAGAAGCAGTGAGACAACTTGGTAAAAATTACATCGAGTACATACAGCCTAAAGAAGTAAAAACTTGCATAGAAGAGCATTGTATGAATTGACACCCAAGAAGTTTAAAGAAGAAGAGAAAAATAGTCATAATTTCAAGTTCAGGAATTAGAGAAATGCACAGAAATGCTTAAAATGGTGCAGCAATTTAAAGATATAACAATGAATTATGATCCTCAGACGGATTAAACCATTTAAGTCACCAGAGCAATAACATTAGACACAAAGCCTCAGTAGCAATTCTTCAACAAACTGAAGAAAAAACAGCTACTGATTATGATGTACTTCAAAAAGATATCAAGACCAACAACTTTAGAGGATCCATAATCTTCCACATTCTCTACTCCTAACATTCAGCCACTTTCCTCAACTTCTGTGAAACTATCATCTTCAAGATGGTCTACTGACAACCATGTATTGTCTGAAGCTTCTGACTAATTATCAGTAAGTTGACAGTAGATGGTCACTACTTATGTACCTACAATCCCCCACCATGTTTATTTAAATAGTGTGCCTGCATATTCATCATCTAACAAGAAGTCAGAAGAAGAAGGAGAATAAGTACAGTACAATACATATTGATTTATGTTATCATGTTATTTATTGTTATTATAGTGTTTATTTGTCTTACCAATCACACATTTTTTTTTATATAAATATATCCATATAGGAAATACTTAATACTGGAATAAACAGCGCTTACTATTCTATATGAAAGCTTTTGGAATGTATTGGTCATATATGGTAAGGTTTTACCATATATGACCAATACATTCCATTACCAATACATTTTATATATAAACTCTAGAATGGTTTATATATAAAAGTTTTAATAAGTAGTGGTCCATTGAATCTATGAGTAACAAAAAAAGAGTTATAAAAAAGTTATCAGAGGAAAAACATTTAGACACATTTAGAAGCAATTTCCAGAAAATATTAATACTATTATCTCAAGAGATTGGATTAACCTCATGATTTTGTTCATACAGCTATGAAAATAATAGAATTGTATTGAATATTATTTCTCAAGTTTGTAGTAATAAATGTTCAAGATTTATGTTTTTCGCTATGCATTGCAAGGCAGTAACAAGCATAGCTTGTTCACATGTTTCTAAGTCTACTCTTCATAAGTAAATTTTTCATTTGATCATCTGATATATTCCAGAAAAAATTTTCATTTTAAATAAAATAGAAACAAAATGAACTTTGTGTACAGAATTAATTATAAAAAAATATTTTAATTTACCTGTGAATAAGAAAATTCTAATCCAGTAATTGAAAACATAATTTCTCCAGCAGTCATAATTACATATTGTGGTATTTGATATAACATTGAAATTGAATTAGGCTGAACTATTACATTATTCTTTAAAAAATACTATAAAGAAAAAATTGAAATTCAATTAAAAAGTAAATATGTTTAAAATTTTTTAATTTAAAATTCAAACATTAAATTACATTTGAAATTACTAAAATTATTTACACCAAATTTTATTGTTGTTAATATAAGATATTAAAGTTTTAAAAATAGTTCTGTACAGTAGAACCCCAGTTAATGAATGCCCTAGTTAATGACAAAATCAGTTAACGAACTTTTATTTTGCAAAAATTTTGTCTCAGATAATGGACGAAATTCAGATAACGAACATAATGGTTTTTTGTGTCAAATTTTAATTATTGTTAGGCATGTGCAAGTTAAGCATTGCTTTTCCGAGTGTTTTTTTTTTTTTTTCAGTTTTGTGATTTATATATTTAATCAATATGGCATTCAAGAAAGACAAAAGTGATAGTGGCAATAGAAAACACCAATGTGATATGAACAACAATGCGCTATCGCATTTGAGAAAAATTTTGATTAAAAAAGTAAGAAAATCAACTTTAGATCAATTTCTTGTTCCTTACCAAAAGAGACCTAGACTCGAAGAATCTCCCGATGAAGTGCTACCCATTACTTTTTTTTGGAGGGGGATTCTCCTTCTGATCATTAAGCTCCATATATCTCCAACTACAACAAATGAAGGTATGTACAGTGCGATTTTATTAAATAAAGTTTACATGTTTGTTACTGTAATGATAGATACTATATTTTCCTATGTTTTCATCAAAGAAAATCTACTGTATTTTACAAATAAAATCACAAAAATTTCAGAGGCTAGAACAGATAAATTGTATTTGCATTAATTTCTATGGGAAAAATTGCTTTGGTTAATGAACAGAGTCATGGAACGGATTAAGTTCATTAACCGGGGTTCCACTGTATAAAAGTCCACGTTTATATATAAAGTTGTTGGTTTTACATCTTTAAGATTTGAATTATCATCATCTAAAGATAAGCAATGNTTTTTTTATCAAAAAACTTTATTTATGCGAGTACTATTTATTGTTGGTAAGAAAAAATTTTGTGGCTCTTTAAAAACTTTGAAATTTTGTAAATTGTAATTTTGGCTCTTCCGACTCAAAAGGTTGCCGACTCCTGCCCTAGTTAACAACAAAATCGGTTAACGAACTTTTATTTTGCAAAAATTTTGTCTCAGATAATGGACAAAATTCAGATAATGAACATAATGGTTTTCTGTGTCAAATTTTAGTTGCTGTTAGGCATGTGCGAGTTAAGCATTACTTTTCCAAGTGTTTTTTTTTTCAGTTTTGTGATTTATATATTTAATCAATATGGCATTCAAGAAAGACAAAAGTGATAGTGGCAATAGAAAACGACAATGTGATATGAACAACAATGCGCTATCGCATTTGAGAAAAATTTTGATTAAAAGAGTAAGAAAATCAACTTTAGATCAATTTCTTGTTCCTTACCGAAAGAGACTTCGACTCAAAGAATCTCCCGATGACGTGCTACCCATTATTTTTTTTGGAGGGGGATTCTCCTTCTAATCATTAAGCTCCATATATCTCCAACTACAACTACACCAACTACAACAAATGAAGGTATGTACAATGCTATTTTATTAAATAAAGTTTACATGTTTATTGCTGTAATGATAGATACTATGTTTTCCTACGTTTTCATCAAAGAAAATCTACTGTATTTTACAAATAAAATCACAAAAATTTCGGAGGCTAGAACAGATAAATTGTATTTGCATTAATTTCTATGGGAAAAATTGCTTCAGTTAACGAACAGAGTCACGGAACAGATTAAGTTCATTAACTAGGGTTCCACTGTATAAAAGTCCACGTTTATATATAAAGTTGTTGGTTTTACATCTTTAAGATTTGAATTATCATCATCTAAAGATATGCAATGAATATTGCACATATTTAGATACTTCTGAGAATGTAAAATATTTAAACTGTTTTAAAAATCAATTTTAATAAAAATTATGATTTATTTAGCTCTCAAGTCGTATTTGTATGATATGTATAATCATGTATAATTCAGTTATGATCAACAAAAATAACATTTGGACTTGAAACCATATTCAAAAAAAAAAATGAAAAAATTGCATAATTCTGGAAACCAAATTAAATTGTATTCAGAAATTTTGTCAGGGTTTCCCATTGGGGTCAATGTATTTATATATAATATTGTATAACATATAGTATACAATATTAAAGGGATCGATGGAATAAACTTTTTCTTAAAAGGAAATGATACAGGAAAAAGGTTGGGAACTCCTGATTTTTGTTCTTTTATACAATCATCATCAGCTGTAAAAATTATCAAATGCATTAAAACAAATACATTCAAAAGAGAGAAATCTCTAAATTCAAATTTTTTCCAATTTTTTATTTTTAAATTCAATTATGAATTCTGTTTGATTTGGAGAAGTGACAAATGCAATTATTTCAGTAATTGTTCATATTATCATCATTATGCATATGCAGGTTATATTATATTTTGTTACATGAGTTATACTCATGCAACAAAATATAACATGCCTATACAGTTTAAATAAGGCTAGTGTATTATTTTGACATATAATTATAATGTAATTAAAGTATCTTTTTATCCATAAATAAGAAATAAAGAATATACATTATATTTCTTATTTGAATGTAGACCAAAAGTGTGCTTAAAAATTATTATTCATAATATACATTCTTTATTTATAGTGTGTTAAATAATTTTAAAAATAAAATTCTCACCTTATTATTTGAATCTGAAACAACTGTAACAATATAACTTCCACCCGTATTTAATTCAACATTATCAAGAGGAATTGTGTCGTTATAATTATTAATAGCTAATTTAAATCTGTAATAAGCAAAATCCTAGTTAAAACTTAAAATAATAATAAAAATATTTGAATTTTATAAATACAGAATAAATTTAAAATATTTAAAATAACACATTAAAATGTTTACTAGTTTAATTTATATAGGAAGGAAAATTATAGTAATACTGTATTTACTCGCATATAAGACAACCTTGAATATAGGATGAGGTGTGACTTTAAAGATCAAAATAAAGAAAATTAGATTTTCTGATTTATTATCATGATGATTGTTTCCTCCAAAATTTTCTGTAACTGTAGTCTGTCTAATGTGAACTTTATTCACATGTTGAGTCTTACTGTCAAATCCACTATTCTTATGCCAGAACTTTCAAAATATTCCTTTATTTAAATGCTTCTGCTAAGATCTACTTTTTCAACCTGATTTCACCAGTATTTTCATGGGATTTCAAGTATTTTTCAGTTATCGATAACTTCATGAGAGAATAGTTTTCATGATAACTCATGTGATATATTCATGTAACAGTCATGTGGTTGCCTGCAGATTTTTCTGTGTCCCAGAAAATTAGTATAAGAAAATCTAGTGCAGATTGAGCTAAGAATTTAAAAGTTAATAAAAGGTGCTAAAACAGGGGTATGCAGGTTTTCATGATAGTTTATATTTTCTTTGGAGTCCCGGAGAATAAGTATGAAAACTGGTGCAGATCAGGCCTTTATCTGCACCAGTTTTCATACTTATTCTCCGGGTTAAGAGTTAATAAGAGGGGTGAAATCATAGGAGGGATGAGTGTCTGGGTTTATATGGTAGTCTATATTTTCCTCAGTGTTTCAGAAAATAAATATAATAAAGAAACTAAGAACAAAGAGAGACAAACATTATCATCTATATACAAGACAAAAGATCTCAAAAATGTGGAGATTTGCAAAAAACTTGGAGGGTCAAATTTGACACAATTACCAGTGGCGTGCTGTCCTTGTAAGCGGTGGAAGCGCCACTTCCCTTGTATTTTCTAAAATATAAAGATATATTGTACGATTATTTTCATATAATTAAAATTAATATTTTATTATAACCACATTATGTATCTTATTACAAATTTCTATATTACATGTAAAACAAACGACAAGATTGCTATTGTATATTCGAATATCAGTGGCGAAATGGAAGCGGTGTATTGTCGAATATGGGACAGCTTCCAAACAGCCAGATTATACGCATTTGTTCATATGCTTTACAGAGCACCAACCTCGTGGTTTAGCTAGTGGATGCCAAACACCAAAATATCGTATAACGCTTCCAATGATTCTATCCAGGACCGGTTCCGGGCTGTTAGCCGCCTGCGTGCTAGATATTTGGCCTCCCTCGCCCCATTATGTGAATCGCGAGTAGATTTATAACTTAAAATATTATTTTTGAAAGAGAATTTAGATACTGTAGTCCTTTTTCTCGCTAATTTCTAAAAATGTATTTTCCTCCCTTCTGCATCTCACATTAGCATTTATAATTTTTTTTCATACCCTTAAAATTAAACCTTTTGCCATTTTATAATAATTAAAAATATCAAAAGATTATATAACAAAATTCATAACAGATGGCGCCACACACAATTTTATTTATTACAATTTAATTAAAAGTATAAAAGTTATTTTCTAAATAAAATCTCACAACAGCCGAGAAAGTTACGCAACTCGTTAGTTTTGATC